GTTGGTGGGCGGAGCTGCCTCTGCCACCCACCTTGGTCGCGGGGGGAGGGGGAGGGGGATTTTTTGCAGAATGACTTGGGCTGTTGCTCAGTTATAGGTTTGAACTTTCGATAGTATCCGTTTGGGAGTGGTATACATATTACACAGATATTCATTGCTATGAATATTAAAATTTCCCCCACATTTCGCATAATTTAGTTATCCTTTTGCCGAGTCATCACCATTAATCTTTCAGAGAGAACGAAAAAAGAATGTCCTCGAGGCCACGCTCCTCACATATGATGTAAATATGCACAAAAAGAAAGCTTCGGAGAATCGGTCACCTGCTGAGATTATCGATGAGTACATTGCATCGAAACCGATAGTGGTGTTCAGCAAAACATGGTGTCCATTTTGCAAGTAAGTTTAAATCTTTTATACTTTTGTCTTTCCTTTTTTGATTTTGATTTTTTGCTTGTGAGAAGAAATGGCTGATTTGTCAATACTTTAGATGTAACCTCGCGTTGAAACATGATTGCATTTCTTTCGCTGATAAGAAATAAAAGTCAGCGATGGTTGGAGTGAATTGTTAGGATGATTATTATTTCCATCTTTTTGCCGTTTTTCAGAAAAGCTAAAGCAGCTTTGGCAACATTTCGATTGAATCAAAGACACTTTGAGTATGTGGAACTTGACGAACGTACCGACCTACCGGGTGATAAGATACAGGACGAGTTCGAGAAGAGATACGGCAGCCGATCAGTACCTAAGGTAATTTTTGCTTTTTCATTTTATGAGAAAAAGGTGGCGTAGTGGTGTGAGGCGCTGCTGTGACAGGTAGGGTCAAGGTTTGATGCCTAGCCACGCTTGGGCTTACGTACCGGATATGGTACCGAGGTAATGTGAGAAATTTCACTTTAGTAACATGTCGACGCGCTTGGGCGTATCTTCTGGATATGGTACCGAGGTAATGTGGGAAAATAAGCACTGACTTGGTAACCTGTCGACTCTTGCTAGTTCTCAAAGGGTTGCCACTGATAGCCTTCTTAGTCGTCGAGTAGATTACGGTTAAAGTGCAGACAGTATATGCCTGCGGGGATTAAGGAATTGTGGTTCAAAGGCAGCGTCCAGGCAAGATATACAGTAACCGCCAAAAAGTTGCACAAGCCCCCCTCCCT